CGGAGTGAGGGTTTCCAGTTGGTGAATTGGTGACTCCCTCGTCTAGCGGGAACAGTTGCCTGTTTGTAGACGAGCCAGCGATTACCTGGCTACGCAGAACTCGGCGCTCGGGGTGGTGTGTGCCTTGCCTGCCGGAGCCTTGCCTCTTCTCTTGGCAATCTGTTCCTAGGCTGCTTCCTAGGGCTGCCCAATCCCTAGCCCCGTCCTAGGGTTTCCAGTTGGTGAATTGGTGACTCCCTCGTCTAGCGGGAACAGTTGCCTGTTTGTAGACGAGCCAGCGATTACCTGGCTACGCAGAACTCGGCGCTCGGGGTGGTGTGTGCCTTGCCTGCCGGAGCCTTGCCTCTTCTCTTGGCAATCTGTTCCTAGGCTGCTTCCTAGGGCTGCCCAATCCCTAGCCCCGTCCTCTGAATCGATACTGCTTTGTAATCAAACTCGAAAGGGGCACGGAGTAAACGAGATGGCCCGCTTTTTCTAACCATGGTAAGATACTTCTGGTTTGGGCTGTGCATTTTGTTGAGCCGATCTTAACATTTTATTTCTTGGCTAAGCTGATTTTGTACACTTATGTATCAGAGGGGTAGCCGTGTTAGTCTGGATGCGCAAAAGCGACAAGGAGTCCTGTGGCACCTTATAGACTAACAGATGTATTGGAGTGTAAGCTTTCCTGGGCAAAGGCCCAGTTTGTCAGATGCAAAATAGTGACTTTGAAGCTAAGGAATATATTACAAAATTGAAATAACTGAGGGTATTTTAACTGCTACTCACTGGGCCCTCCTGTCCTTTGTGTGGAAACAGGTTTCTGTTACTGTGTGTGCATCTGACGAAGTGGGTCTTTGCCCACGGAAGCTTATGCTCCAATACATCTGTTAGTCTGTAAGGTGCCACAGGACTCCTTGCCACTTACGTGGTGAATAGCAATCTAAAGGTAATAATGAAGAGCGTAACATATCTCCATGTAGTACAATCTGTGCAGGTGTATGCAAGTGTAGCTTTTTGGCTATCTGTGATTGAATATAGCAACAAATGCTAAATGATTTTACTAGTGAACTTTTTATCTACCATTTTGTTTCAGTTGAAGGTTAGATGGTTGAAGTTTAGTGATGAATAAACCTAGGGTTATATCTCTTATATACAATCTGCATGGCTGTAATGCTGTACACCTGTGAAATGTGAGTGGGCACTAATTCCTTGAGGCACTGCTGATGACATACAGTTTTGCCAAGAAGAAATTAACTTTTTTTTCTTCCAGGTGTGTGGTGATTAAATGTTTCCATTAGGAATGAAAAAATTCATTGAAAATAGTAACACTGTAATTGATAACATTCCTATAGTTACACTGCTAACAGTTTGTTTTGCTTGGGGATGTACAGCTTACTGTGGACTCTCCATTAGGAGCCTGCAGGCTTGGTCCTGCATGTGCTGGGTCCTGGCAGCTAGCCCTGGTCCTGAGGAGCCTGCTTCAGGAGTGGGATGGCTGCTGGGACCAAGAGCGTGCTGGGCCTGAGCCTGCTGACTCCTACTACAGAGCCTACAGTTTAGCAGTTGGCATCCTGGGAGTGGGGTTGTCAGAGCCCTGGGCATGTGGGGATGGGGGGGCAGTAGCGGGCTCCCCAGTAGTGGGGCTGGCTTCTGGTATCTAGTGCATGTTTGGAGCCTGCTGGCTTCAGGTTAAGCTGCAGAGCCCACAGCAGAGGACAGCTGACACCCCAGGTGGGCAGAGTTTAACCCGGGGTGGGCAATAATTTTTGACATGGTTTTAAATTCTAACAACCCTAGTTTCCACCAGAGAGTGCTTTTGTGTCCTGTGTGGAATGCACGCAAAGGTGTCTTTGGGCCAACAGGGTGTATTTTACCAAAACTGCCTTTGATCAACTCTGTGTACTTAGCATTATATAGCACAAGGCCATCCCTAGGAGGAAGCAAGGGAGATGGGGCAACACCCTGTGCCCCAGGTCTCTCAACCATTTCCCCAAGCCTAGCCACTGCTCCATCCCCTTCCCACGTCTGCTATGCCCCCATTGCTCTCCTTCCCTTGAAGCTCCCTCCCAGAGCAACTGGAGCTGCAGGAAGAAGAGTGACTCAGCAGCCTGCTCCACTGACCATCTCCCAGCCAGATTGCTCCAATTCACCACAGAGGCAGAAAGTGGAAAGCCTTGGTCCTAATCCATTCAACTCCCCTGAGCCCGTTTCACTCAGGAAAGTGAAACAGGCTGGGTCCCAGCCACTGTAATTCGGGAGATGGTGCATTGCTCTGCTTCCTGTGGTTCCCACTGCTGTCGTGAAAGCAAGGGTTCTGACCCCTACTGCCATAAAGTGTAAGCCTACAGCTTAGAAAAGAGGAGACTAAGGAAGTTGGGGATAAGCTAGATGTCTATAAAATCATGACATGTATAGAGTAAGCGAATAAAGAAAAGTTATTTACTTGTTTCCATAACTTAGGAACCAGGGGTCATCAAATAATATTAATAGGAAGCAAGTTTAAAACAAACAAAAAAGTTTTTCTTCACGCAGCACAGTGTCAACCTGTAGGACTCCTTGCCAGAGGATGTGAAGACCAGGACTTTAACAAGGTTCAAAAAAGAACTAGATAAATTCATGGTGACTAGGTCCATCAATACTTATTAGTCAGGATGGGTAAGTATGGTGTCCTTAGCCTCTGTTTGTCGGGCTGGAAATGGATAACAGGAGATGGATCACTTGATTACCTGTTCTTTTGACTCCCTCAGGGGCATCTGGTATTGGCCACTGTCAGAAGATGGGATACTGGGCTAGTTGGACCTTTATTCTGACCCACTAGGGCCATTCTTACCAGTATGGGGGATCATCCTGTTGAATGGCTTCCACAGGGTCCTCCAAAATGCAGGGCCTGGGGGGGCTGCTTCAACCCATCCTATGGATGGGATAGCTCTGGTATACTATATTTTGGCTGGTTTACTGGTTAACCATTCACATCCCTAATAAATATGTGCAAACTAAATGTGTACTTGAAAATTACTATTTGCTTAGTTACTGGGTGCAAATCCAGCTGATGGTTTAGATCTATTCATTTGTGTACTGACTGAGTCATCACTGCCTCTCTGCCCTGATAATATAATCCTGCTGAGGTTCTTCAGTGTGCAGTTCTTGATGAAAAGTCATTGGCTATGGGCTTTGCTACCTTCAGGTGGTCCACAAAATTTCAGATGTACTGACTTATAGTCTTGCATTGCTCTCTTACTTTTATTGGACAAGCATTTGGTATCACTGGGTGACTTTGCTCTATTTCAGTATTATAAGACACTTATTTTGTCTCTTCTGGGTAATTGAATCAGCCACATAATGGGTAAGCATATTTTAGAAGTAATCTGCTAAAATTGAAGTGGAAAGGAAACTAAGATATCAGCTTGTGCTTACTTAGAGTACCTAAATTAGACCTTACACTACAGCAGGGTGGCCAACCCATTCCAGACAGAGCCACAATAGCAGTGGAGACAGCATAAAGAGCCGGAGCAAAGTTGTTGAACCAAAAAAAAGCTATGCTGGGGGAAAATAGGTGCTGATACACCGTCCCACGGCTGCCTTTTGTTGTTTTTTGTTGGCTCAAAACTTTGTCAGCTCTTCTCACTGTCTCCACTTCTGTTGTGGCTCACAAAAAAAGCACTGGGAAGGGGTGAGAGGTGCAAGCTCTGGGAGGGAATTTGGGTGCAGGAGGAAGTAGAGAAGAGGATGCTGGCTCAGGGAGGGGGCTCCAGACTGGAGTGTGTTGGGGTGCTGAGCAAGCCGCAGGCTTGTGGCTGGGGGGGGGGAGAAGGTTTGGCTGGGGAGCATGCCTGGGCTGCATGAGGCAGAGAGGCTGTGAGTATGATGGGCTCAGGAAACGGGTTTGCAGTGTGTGGATGGTGCAGGAGTGTTGTGGCAGAAGACTGGGGATGTAGGGCTGCAGGAGTTTGGGGGTATGAGAGGCTCAGGACAAGGGGTTCCAGTGTATGATAGGCTCAGGTTTGCAGTCTGGGGTGTGCTGGAGTGTTA